ATTCGCTGTGCAGAGTTGCGTCCTTTGGACACGCCAGAAACCTATGATTGTGGGTACGAATCCCAGTTTGCCCAGATTATGTTTCTAGGTTTGTCAGCACCATACCCGTGCTCGTGGGTTTCACCGAAGGGGTAAACGTCTAAGACCTGCATCTCTTCGGGCTTTCCTCCCACATTAAGCTGACACGCCGTGATATGACTGGAATACTGATAAAAGCGGCGTTAAACCCAACTCACTCACTCACTCACTATAGTTCTATTAAAAGATGTAGAGGGGAATGTCCGAGTAACTCTCCATTCCTTAAAAATAATGGAGCAGAAGCCCATTGTTTTTAAGGAATGGAGAGTTACGAGGATATTCCCCGATAAAAACACATCCCTACTCTTACACTTTGACAAAACATTCCCTTGTGGAAAATATTTGAAAAATAAACCAGAACTCTTTGTAGTCTGTATTATGTTGCGTGAGTCGCCCTTGCGTGATGCACGAGGAATACGTTCTCTGTTGCTGGTGCATGTGCACCAAGCTCCATCACGAGCTGATATTTACAATGCATGGTACATGGCTCTTCAAAATTTCGTGAGGTCCTAAACTAGTATTTATCAATCGCTTGCACATTGTTAATAATAACAACAACAACAACAACAACAACAACAACAACAATAATAATTTATGCATTTGCATAGTGAGCATCCACTGTGCATAAGTGCTCTGTGCGCTATAATGAAACTTATGGGTTTTTTGAAGCAGGAGAGAGATGCTGATGGGGAATATCTTTAAAAATGAACATTGTTGTATGTACCCTGCTGTAACACAACACTATATACATAGATCTATTATATTTTAGCTTTTAAGGATTATGCAAATATTTAAAAATATTAAATATAGTTAATTTCACACCACTGTAGCTGAGGTAAACAGTTGGCCGTCCTTAAATCAAACAATGTGGGTTCCGACCAAATTTGAAATCATTTAAGTGTCAAAATATGAACAAAATATTTCTGTCTATTCCAAGTGTAAATTCATTGAAATGTTGGTTCAAGATAATGAACAACTGACAAACAACTGTCCATTTCTTAAAAATCATGGAGTGTTTAACTTCAAACAATAGAATGACGTCACAGATGTGTTTTAATATTGTACTTCGTAGCTTGTCTGTGGCTTGGGTTATTGTATCTTGTAATTTGTATGTAGTTTGGATTAATGCAGCTGGTCTGTGGTTTAGATTGTTGTAGCTAATCTGTAGCCTGTATATAATTGCAGCTTTATGTGGCTTCGATTATTGTAGCTAGTCTGTGGCTTAGAATATTGTAGCATGTATGTAGCTCAGATTATTGTAGCGTGTATGTAGCTCGGATTATTGTAGCATGTATGTAGCTCAAATTACTGTAGCGTATATGTAGCTCAGATTACTGTCGCGTGTACGTAGCTCAGTTTATTGTAGCATGTATGTAGATCAGATTATTGTAGCATGTATGTAGCTCAGATTATTGTAGCATGTATGTAGCTCAGATTACTGTAGCGTATATGTAGCTCAGATTACTGTCGCGTGTACGTAGCTCAGTTTATTGTAGCATGTATGTAGATCAGATTATTGTAGCATGTATGTAGCTCAGATTAGTCGCATGTATGTAGCTCAGATTATTGTAGCATGTATGTAGCTCAGATTATTGTAGCGTGTATGTAGCTCAGATTATTGTAGCGTGTATGTAGCTCAGATTATTGTAGCCAGTCTATGGTATGGATATTTTAACAGTGTGCAGGTTGGATAATTGTAGCTACAAGTAGTTTGTATCTTGGATTATTGTGCTGAGTCTGTGGATTGGATTATTGGATTATTGTATGGGTTCTGTAATGCTGGCACCATCTCAATGCAATATCAATAAAATACCACTATGTTCCCTAGTTCAACAACTATCACATTCTTTGCTGTACTTTGTTCTGCAGTCACAAAAGAAGGAAGAATTCAGGAAAATATACTGCCAAGTACAGCCTTATCCTCCAGTGGTCTCCAGAACTGTAAGATAAAGTTATCATCAATCTACTGTCTTCTGCATCAATGGTATCGTGTTTATAGGTCCCAGTGACTCCTATAACTAACAATAACCATCCAGTTTCTGAGAGCACTGTCCTTCATTTGGCATGTAAATGTGCACATACGTTCAGCTCTGTGAGTGCATTGCTGACAGACTCAGTTATTGGCCGGTACAAAACATCCAGCGAGGAATTGATTTTTGAGAGCAGACGACAATAAATAATACAACCATAGACGGGTGGGGAAAGTTCAGTTTATGTCGTGCGGAATAATCTTCATTAGAAGGGCAAAAAGCATGTAGAACGTCAACAGCTTAAAAAAAAGCATGAAAGTCTTGGGGTTCTTAACCCTAACGTTGAAAGTTCCCTAGATTCAAATATTATGGGAGCAAAGGACCCCAGGACACCACTTCATTTTGAACACTGTTATGCTCTTTTGGTCATGCTCCTATCAAGTGATAGCACATAGTGTTACTGTTAACAATTAACACAGGCCCATTATTAAACGCTTAGTCTCTGAAAATATATAATCTTGACAGAAACAAGCAGCGACATTTAAATTGAAAAGGAGCCCTGATGAGATGGAAGATTCAGAGCCTGTGGAAAATCTAGACATGCTTCATTTAGGGACCGACCATTTGACATTCTGGGTAGGGGTGCTAAGATTGTATCAAAAATAAATATGGTTCCCGAAAGTTCTTGAAAAAATAATTACCATATTCGACGTAATAAGTGCCCCACTCTAATAAGCGCCCACAGCGATATTTGCTAATATATTGGCTGGTGAACAATCCCAATTGGCACCCCTTCCTATTGATCAATGTACACTAGACTTATTTATTTGTGTATAATACACACTCGTGTGTTATATGCACCCTCAATTACGGGCAATTCAATTATGGAAAAGTATGTTAGTCGTGTATAATACGCACAGACTTTTCTTTTGTATCATTCAGGCTGTCAGCATAAACCACAAAATTTATGATCTTTTAACTCTGCGTTTATTTCACCAAAATTTTAAAAAGAGCCCCCTTTTCTAATTTTAAGAGCGCCCTGCGCGTTTATTACGTCGAATACGGTATGCTTCGGACCGATCCCAAAAAAATTATTGCCTGCCACAAAAGTAACATTGTTGCAAGGTGTTTTTCTTTTAACAATAATTCACACTCATGGTCATAAATAAGAAAATATTTAGTTGCGTAACTTTGGCTGAATAGTTGGTCCCTTAGGGATACAGCATTATAGTTAGAGCTGGGAAGAAGGGGAAATGACATGGTTCAGGGACTGTGAGACAGACTAGCCTATTATGCCTGGATGTGAAATTTTGATGAGGGTTCTACATTGGCTGATTTCTCAAGATATTCATAAATTTAATGTTATTAATCATACACAATATCTAATGAGTACTGTACTTCTAATGATGAGGAAAAGAAATCTCACTTTGTTGAACAAACCAAAAAAGTAGTAATCCACCAGGTCATAAACTATAAACTATATAGCAATTCCAATAAGGGTGACTATTATGGCAAGCTGGAGACAGACCCCAGTTGTACCAGTCCCCACTGTATTCCGTGATTCCGCGGTTGCGGAATATTTTGCAGAAATGCCCACTTGGTACTTTTCTTGCAGAAATCACATTTTGTGCAGAACTATTGCAGAATTTTGCATTTATCTGCCTCAGAACTCATCAATTACATTGCAGAATTTTTACATGTGATTCCAAAGCTGGTTTTAAACATGTTAACGGATATCTATTTTGTTTTGAAGTGAAGTTGACTTTTGTATTACTGCATGTCTGTATGTTCACGCCAGTGATCTCCAGATTCACTTCAATAAGCAAGCTCTTCAGAAGTTCTAGCTGTGGATAAGTTATCCCAAAAAGTCAAACAGGTGAAAAACTATGTAGTTCATGACAACTAAGCATTAACATTTGCAGAATTCTGTGCAGAATTATTCAAATTTGTTTGCAGAATTAACAAAAACTTGATTGCAAGAGTTTTGATGTTATAGCTGCGAAATACAGCGGGGACATTGGCACCATCGATGCTTGAATAATGCCAATGTTGAAGCACAGATTAAAAAACACTGGATCAACAGATACAAATAAATACCTGCCTTGAATTTTGTTTTAAATTTGATGAAAAAACATATTTGATGGCAAAAGAAACCTTTTTTTAAAACTAAGTTGAAATGCCTCTCTGAAAAACACATTTTCTGCCATGAATAGGCAGGGCCTTCTTACGGAAACAAGCATGTGGTTTTGTAGGCCTCTTCTGCCCTTGCATCATCCAAGGGAATTCTGGGACAGAATAGTTCCCTACATCCAACAGGACTAATGGCTGAAGATAGGGTGGATACAATGTGTGCCTGGACGCATTATCGTACCACCATTGTAGATCATGTAGATTCTCATGCTGTCATCACAAGTCTGACTGGTTCAGTGTGTGTGTGTGTGTGTGTGTGTGTGTGTGTTTGTGTTTGTGTGTGTGTGTGTGTGTGAGCATGAGCATATGTGTGAGCATGAGCATATGTGTGAGCATGTGTGTGTGTGGGCATGTGTGTGTGTGTGTGTGAGCGTGTGTGTGTGTGTGTGCATGTGTGTGTGCGTGTGTGTGTGTGGGCATGTGTGTGTGGGCATGTGTGTGGACATGTGTGTGTGAGCATGAGCATGTGTGTGTGTGAGCGTGTGTGTGTGTGGGCATGTGTGTGTGTGTGTGAGCGTGTGTGTGTGAGAATGTGTGTGTGAGCGTGTGTGCGTGTGTGTGTGTGTGTGAGCATGTGTACGTGAGCATGTGTGTGTGAGCATGTGTGTGTGAGCATGTGTGCGTGTGTGTGTGTGTGTGTGTGAGCACATGTACGTTAGCATGTGTATGTGAGCATGGGCGCGTGTGTGCATATATTACTGACTTTAAACTGGGCTACAACTTGGCTACAACACTGAGTTGAAGTTTGATATCCTTTCTTACCACTCTCAGATATGAGGTCTGTAAGTTTATCCAGATACTCCTCTCTGGCTTTCAGGTCCTCAGTAATCTTCAGTTGTTCAATCAGGGGCAGGACTTCGTCTGAAGGGAAACACACAAATCATATGAAGAATCATTCAGACAGCTCTGTTTGAGAAGTTGGAGTTGGATTTGAAATAGCTTGGGGTATTTGTGACCTTACTATCAAAAGTTAAGTATGATGATGTTGACTAATACTTAGAACTATTCGGACCGCCTCCGTGGTCTAGTGGTAGAGCGTCTGCCCGGAGAGCGGAAGGTCCTGGGTTCCATCCCCGGCCATGTCATACCAAAAGACGTTAAAAGATGGTACTTATTGTTACCCTGTCTGGCGCTCGGCATTAAGGGGCTAAAACAAGGACTGGTCAGCTCGGAGTCAGTATACTGTGTCTGAGTGGGGTATTCATGTTAAACTGCGACATGGTATCTCAGTGGGCTAGCACTATGATACGGCATCAGTCTGGACTAGTACAAGCAGCCACACACACAAATTATTGCACGTCGCTAAATAAGTACAATAATCTTGGACATGACGTTAAACCCCATTTCACCTCACCTCACTTAGAGCTATTCATATCTAAACAACATATCAAATATGACAAATTCTTATCATTTCAATTTTCTCTTTGAAATGTGTCAATACCCAAAGCGTGTGCTTGTACACTAAAAAAGATATAAAGTGACCACAAAAAAAACATATCAAATGTTCACTGGCATTCACTTATGAGCTGAAAAATTAAAACTGTTAGAAAAAATTGTGAAATGGCACTGTAGCTCACCTGAGAATATAGTCAACATTTAAGAAAACAACAAAGACAGCCATTTAACAAATGCTGCTATCAGCATTGCTAATCAAATATGAAAGGGCAAAAGTATGGCCTGCAATGAGAATTCAATACCACAAGTTTACGAACACATCACAATATCCTATGATGTAATTTATGATGTCTTTTTGCCAGGTACATGGTCAAAACAATGCACCCATCCTCAGACAATTGGCTGTAACAGGCACCCATCCTCAGACAATTGGCTGTAACAGACACCCACCCTCAGACAACTGGTTGTAACAGACATCCATCCCCAGACAACTGGCTGTAACAAACACTCATCTTCAGACAATTGGCTGTAACAGGCACCCATCCTCAGACAATTGACTGTAACAGGCACCCATCCTCAGAAAATTGGCTGTAACAGACACCCATCCTCAGACAACTGGTTGTAACAGACATTCATCCCCAGACAACTGGCTGTAACAAACACTCATCCTCAGACAATTGGCTGTAACAGGCACCAATCCTCAGACAACTGGCTGTAACAGACATTCATCCCCAGACAACTGGCTGTAACATGCACCCATACTCAGTCAACTGACTGCACCAGAAACCCATCCTCAGACAAATGGCTGTAACAGGCTCCCATCTTCAGACAACTGGTTGTACTAGACACTCATTTTCAGACAACCAACTGTAACAAACACCCATCCTCAGACAACCAACTGTAACAAACACTCATTCTCAGACAACTTGCTGTAACAGGCACCCATCCTCAGACAACCAACTGTAACAAACACTCATCCTCAGACAACTTGCTGTAACAAACACTCATCCTCAGACAACTTGCTGTAACAAACACCCATCCTCAGACAACCAACTGTAACAGGCACCCATCCTCAGACAACTGGCTGTAACAGGCACCAATCCTCAGACAACTGGCTGTAACAGGCACCCATCCTCAGACAACTGGCTGTAAGCGACATCCATCCCCAGACAACTGGCTGTAACAAACACTCATCCTCAGACAATTGGCTGTAACGGGCACCCATGCTCAGACAACTGGCTGTAACAAACACTCATCCTCAGACAACTTGTTGTAACAGGCACCCATCCTCAGACAACTGGCTGTAACAAACACTCATCCTCAGACAATTGGCTGTAACAGACATCCATCCTCAGACAACTGGCTGTAACAAACACTCATCCTCAGACAACTCTTTTTAAAAATGCGATGGCTGATGTAGCTGAAGATCTATTCCTATCACCCACAACTGCCTATTGTTTATTCAGTGAATAATGAAGGCATGATCAGGATAAATTCTTATTTCAGAAAGGGGATGTTGTACATATTAGCTACATGGAACCAAATTATAATATTGAGGGAGGGGTGACCTGAAAAGCCCTTTCACATAAATCAAGCTTACCCTGGAGGAGGTGTAGCTGTGTAATAACATTCACTTCACTGCAATCAGGGATTTGGAGAGGAAAATGAAGCATTCATGACTTGCCAGTTTCACTGTCAGTATACATCAATCTCCATACTAAATGTGGCCCAAAACAGTCTCCTGATGAAAGCTATCATGACATGGAACATGAAGTGATCATATTGCCATTCAGTGATGGCTGTTTGCATCAACAACATCATCAAGTTTCATCTTTCCTTCTAGAAAGTATAAGTAAATCTGAAGTTCTTATGCATTATATTTCAGGAGTAACTGGAAACAGTCTGAACAACTGGTCCTTCACATTTGCATCATTATTACAGTACAGTGTGGATACAATAAATCATTGTAAGCCTGAATTAAATGATGGGAGTTACGATCATTTTAGCTCTAAGATCGCTTCGTGGAATGGGGCATTGGGCTCATTGTGTGCAATAAATAAACAAAGAAAGTTTGGGAGTCCTTGTCATAATCCTAGTGTTATAAATTATATGAGTGAGTGAGTGAGTGAGTGAGTGAGTGAGTGAGTGAGTGAGTGAGTGAGTGAGTGTTTTTTGTTTGCTTGTTTAATGCCGCACTTAGCAATATTCCAGCTATATGATGGCGGTCTGTAAAAAAATCGAGTCTGGACCAGACAATCCAGTGATTGACATCATGAGCATCGATCCACACAGTTGGGAACGATGACCTGTATCAACCAAGTCAGCGAGTCTGACCGCCCGATCCCGTTAGTCGCCTTTTACGACAAGCAAAGTTGCCTTTTAGGGCAAGTATGGGTTGCTGAAGATCTATTCTACCCCGGAATCTACACGGGTCGAGTGAGTGAGTGAGTGACAGAGTGAGTGAGTGAGTGAGTGAGTGAGTGAGTGAGTGAGTGAGTGAGTGAGTGAGTGAGTGAGTGAGTGAGTGAGTGAGTGAGTGTGGTAGGGCTGGGATGATACACCAACTATGAGATCTGATACGTATCATGATAACTTGCTTATGATCCGATACGTATCACGATACTTGCATGTGCTCTTATCTGTGGAGTGTAAGCCATCTTAGACAGCATGGCCAAATACTTGGCACACTGCCGATTTACAGTTGGCAGTGTCAAGTATGGTGCATGGATGCATTTATGCTTTCAGTACTAATTTTCATTAACTAATTAGTGTTTGGTACTTGTATCGAGAAGTAAAACATCCCAACCCACTGATCAGTGTGTTTGAGTGGTTGAGTGAGTGAATGAGTGAGTGAGTGAATGAGTGAGGGGTTAAGTGGGTAAGTGGGTGGTTGAGTGAGTGGGTGGGTGGGTGGGTATGTTGTGAATAATGAGTGAATAAAAGTTTTTACAATACTCTAGCAATAAACATTAAACTGACCTTCACATAGTGTAACCAAGTAGGGACATTTATGTTTCAGGTACGATGATCAAACACTTTAACCACTAGACCACCCTACTGCTCTTGTGCACAATACAACTTACAAGCTTACCGTTATTGACCCCAGACAAGTTCTACATTGAACATTGTTGATTCAACACACACATGGGCCACTCTAGGATATTGGCCAGACATTTAACAAAACTGCATCAGAAGTTGAAGGCTTGATCCTTATGGGTCTCATGGAAGTAATAGTTACATTCCACACATTCTGCATATTCTGATCAATGCATTCATTACTTTATTCATAGAGATCTTAATTCTGTAATTGCATAAATTCAACTGAATTGGCATGCCAGATTGATATAGCATGTCTAGGCTACATGATAATGGCCATGCTTAATGCAATGAGATCAGCTCAGCATAAGAAATGCTAAGATTCTGAGGGAAGTGTATTGATTGAGTACAATTCATACAGGGTTTTATACATATGCAACAGCATTGCACATTTTAGTCCACTTGAAGTCAAATAATCAATTCAACATTGTTCACCTTGACTAAAAAGACTGAATTTGCACTTGTGTAATCTAAAGGGATTAGCAATTCATTTGCAATATGCCTTTCTTTCTACATATTCTAAGGTTGGGTTGAACAGTTCTGCTCATTTCCTGTACAGTGTAGTGATGCCGCAAAATCTAACATATCTTTCCACTGTAGAGTATAGTGATGCTGCAAAAGCAACCATAACTTGCCTTTGTACAGTGTAGTGATGCCATAAAATCTAACATATCTTTTCCTAGTAGAGTACAGTGATGCTGCAAAAGCAACCATAACTTGCCGCCTATGCATGATCAGATCGTTTTAAACATGTATCTAAATAGTTTTTGCCAGGTCTATGGTAAAACAATTCCCAATCAGATATTTGCTACCCAACTCTTGAGACCTACAGCGGGTACCTGGTAGGGTTGGGTACCTTTTTTTGATAATTTGATACACCAAACTATCTTAAAGTATTCAATAGCCTCTATCATAAGTGTGGTATCTACAATTAATTTAATCATCGGCCTCAAAATTTCGACGCACCCTAGCCCTGGCTGGTCATAAAGTTACAAAAGTAACATCTAACACATCTTGCAGCGTACAATATAGTGGTGCTGCAAAATCTATAACGCATATCTACCAAATCTATTTGAAATATGGTGATAAAACGGGGATATTTACACACACCAGACCCCAAATCAATACTAATGCAGCAACATCATACCACTTGTTACATCCGATTAATTCATGATTAACTGATTAAGAATCATTAATGATAAATCTTTACGATGCTTTTTTCCCTTTGGGGTTGCTCGTACACGATTTAACTATTTTCTTGTGTTCACTGACACAGCAATGGTAAAAAATGAATGCTTAATCAGCTAAATTACAGTTTGGAAATTGTGACTTGGGGACGTCAGAACTGGACACTGATTGTGTACTTCCTATGAATGGAAAAGCAGCAGGCGGGTTGTTGCTTCTCTTTAGATGTTCATTTGTAAGATATTTCTGAAACGCACTTACCCATTTTTCCGGCAGCTGATTCTCAGTTGTAGGGAGACCGATGTACAAAATATGATAAGTGATATGTTTCACAAGTTGTGACAATATCACGATTTCATGATAATGAACTGTGTGATCATCGGCTCGTGGGCGCTGCCATGACACCGGAAGTAAACGATATGTCACTATTCACGCACTTGCTCATCGCCGCGCCTGCAGTAGGTGATCGTGATTGACAGATGACGATCGGGGTGTAAAGTTGTATTTTCAAGTGAAAACTACCTTCCTGGGGCGAGAAACTACCAGGTTTCAACTGAAAGAGGTATGGTCAAAGATGCACCGTGTGTTTGTTTTGATTCAGCAGTCTACCTCTAAGCAATGAATTCTCCCGTTGGGGTTCGAAAGGAAACGATGTTCTCAAATACGATATAATCAAGTCATTCGAAAATATATATACGATTTTATCTTTGACTTCAGAATGATACAGCCTATAGCATGTAAGTGGTATTTTAGGTTGTTGTCATTTGTACACATGAAAATACAATGTTATTGAATCTCAATACTTTTACAGAAAGTGCCGTTCTCAGTTCTCCCTGCCGAGCCACTTCGGATTACTTCATGGCGGTTTCGGTCAAAACATGAGTACCTTCTCCGTGGCTTTGAAGGGGGGTTCGCCCTGGGGATTTAGAATTCAGGGTGGCAGGGAATTTAACGAGGCATTGAAAATAGCAAAGGTAAGTCCTGTTTCATTTTTATTATAATTTCCCATTCGCAGTTTGATCGAAAAACGAATTGTAAAGTTTTCACCAGTGCGTGCAGTGAAAGCTTGGTGCAACACGACCGGGGGTTTGACTAGCACCTCACATGTGATTCACATCTCTGCTAAATAGGTCTACCTAGGTAACACAGATGCGCAGTACAGGCTCCCTCTCCTAAGATATCTCGACTGTAATTTTTGTAAGCGATGTCAGTGTCTTATAACCAAACCCTTCAGTGATAAAATGTTCAAGTGAAGGCCTAGTTGACAGATCAGAGGGGTGTGTCCACAGGTGTGTCTCAAAGGGAGAGTTTCTCACCATACCACGATCGTTTTTTTAATGTGTTCGAAAAATAGTTTCAGTCACATGATTTCTTTATTTTTCACTCTTATTTGAAATGTGTGATTATTTTTTTACAATATGTGACAAAGAAAAACATTACCGGTGGACATGAATCATCAGCTATGGATGAGTGGCTACATGCCTTTTGAGAATATGAAGTGTGTGCAAGTATGTTCACGGATCCTTTTTTATCATGCACTCCTCTGTGAAAACCCTATTGTGTTATGAAAGACGGTATTTCCCCCACATGAGCTTGATATTCAGGTTTTGTGCAGTTTGGTTGTTATAAATAAAACCTGTGGCAGTTTATTTTTGAACTTATCGTTTTCCAGAATTTTGTACCAGTCAATATAAACTTGATGTGAAAACAATTACTGTTTCATTGTTAAATAAAAACTCAAAAGAAATCATGGTCTAATGGGAAGAATGTGGATGAGATTAAATAAATTACTAAATGACAGGTGTCACTTTTGATTGATTGGTCATCATATGTAATGAGATGTTTTGAGATAGTTAGCTTCAATAATTATCTACACTGGTCATAATATGTGATCTAGATGAATGTGTACTTTTCAAATACATGTACCACAAAAATAATTTGTTGTGGAAGCATGTCATTTAAAAAGAAATCTGACTCATTCATTCCCAATACAGAAAAACTGAAAAAATATCAACAGATATGTTAATTGACTCATAGCTTACATAAACCTGGATGCATTCTGGAAACTCAGGTGAGGATAACTATTTATGACTACCTACAAGGTGACATAACAGGATTGAGCCTATTGCCACTTGTTGCATCACCATGCACCTGAAGTGTGCCTAGCAAGGTATTATGATTTAGTGAAATAGCTTACAGCTACTTTCTGTATATAACAGAATGACAGGTCATTGATAGCCAATTAAATCATACTGAGATCTGATTTATATCATTGTGTCCTGCTCACACACCACTCACACCCAATCTACTTGCTAATATGTTTTCTTTGTTATTTAGTTGTTAATTGATGGCACAATAGACCTAATTGCCCTGATTAATGGATGGCAATGGTGTTTGTGATACAAATTCAGACGAAAGTGTGTCGCAATTAATTTACTGTCAATGCTGTGTGGTCAGGGATGCATGAAATAGATAAATTCTATGAAAATACAAATTTACATTCCAATATTTTAATGCTGTATTTGTTAATGGATACAGTATGCTTTTTGTTAGCTATGTCAGCAATGCTTCTGTAAGACTTTCTACTGTGTAGTATAGTACATTAAATTGGTTTTAGCTGTTATCTGAGTGAAGTAGTTATTTCAGTAGCAGGAAATTTTAAGTTTCACTCAAGTCAGTTTTTGTTGGATTTTAAGAACATTGAAGTTATAATCACTGATGACAAAAAAGTTTGATTTTTATCGTTTGAGACTAGTTTTTCATGTTGATAAATTAATATTGCTTTGGATACCCTATTTACCCAATTGCAATGTGACTGCTTACTAATCCTCTATTATAACTGTGGAATATCTCCTTTTACTTAAATAATAGCCTCAAACCAGTCTTTATTATAATAGATAGCAATATTAACAAATCAGCAAAATTATTAAAAAACGACATTTTAACAAATTTAGTGTAATAAATTACTTCATGTGAACGTCATAGTGCCACAAAAAACTAATTATTGCAAAACTCATTTACCATATGAATCTTCTCATCTTGTTTGTTTGATAAGTGGTGCACATTTCATCGGCTCATGAGGCGTTGATAGTGTTAATAGTTTAATATCCTGTTGCCATTTTCCTTATGATGGAAATTTTGTTTTTGTTGAGTTTGACAAAGCAGTCTTTGTCTTTCTCATGTCTGCAGTGTCAGTTTAACATGTTTAATGGACATGTGGAGTACGTCCCTTACAATACACTGCTGCACGCTTTGCAGCTATCTGAACAACATGGAGTATCAGTAGTTGTCTTGTTAGATAACATGATTACACCATAATGTCCCTGAACATGGTATTTTCATAACACGGATTTCCTTGGGATCCAAGGAAGTTGCAAATTGGGAAACATAGTTACTTTGTTCAAAATTGCAAAAACAAAAAAATAAGTTCTTGTCTTCCTATTTCAGAGGTATGTTAACAATTGATACATTTTAGCACTATATTCAATACAATAATGCTAAATGTTTAATTTCAGTTTGGGAATTTTCACGGACAATTGCTACAGATATTTGACGCCGAATATCGGCGATAAATATCACCATAAATCCTTGCAGGATTACTGCTGCCCCCAATGGCAATATTGGTCCTGTAGTCTTTTATAACTCAGTGTCATTAACATGTAAGTTACAAGTTAACCAAAATACTAAGGAAATAAAATTATCTAAGGCGCAGCAATACACTGTGCACCTGCGACATGCGGACATGCTGTGACATAACTATAATACTGAAGTGGCATTAAAACCAACTCACTCACTCACTCACTCACTCACTCACTCACTCACTCACTCACTCACTCACTCACTCACTCACTCACTCACCCTATTAATTTGGTTTGATGACATGAGTGAGTGCATGTCACAGTCAGTAATATCCAGCTATTTCACCAGCATGTCCTTTATAAAAATAGCTTTAGCTATATTTATATTTTATTGTTCACTGAATATCATATTCCATAATGCTTGCAGGTGTTTGTTTTGGAAGATTAAATAATGATTTCAACAAATAGTCACCAAACATTCTTGAGGAAATGTTTCATATGTTCATGAATATTTATGAATTGTCTTGTTTACACATGAAAGTTTTTTGTCTGCAGCATATGCTGGTAGATTTAATATTCAAGTTGAAAGGTATAAAATGTTACGGTGACCCTGTTTTAGCTTTGGTTGGAATTAATTTCTTCCCAATCACAAGAAGCATACCGAATACATGTATGGTATGAATGCATGTGACAGGTGATATGGATTGCTCATATCCTATTAATTTCATATGTAATAGTGTGTAGTGAGGTGGAAAATCCCTGGAAGATAAGATTAACTAGTCTATAATATAAGACACCATGTCAGTTCAACATTAGTATTACAACCTCAGATTGCAGTGTTCCGTTACATGTTCAGTGTGTTTACTGAACCTTTTAATGACCTAAAATAGGCAATAGAGGGAATGATTTGACAGTATCAAGGAGGGTTCTGTTACCCTTAACTTTTCAATGGTGGTCTGTGTCAGTTCGACATGACACACATCGATCGCAAACAATTAAGCTGGTAATTGGTAACAAATGTCAAATTAAGATGCTGTATGTCTTATTGAAACAGGTTTAGGAGTTTACTGATTTATATGATTATGATTACATATGCTTTTATTCATAAATGCTTTTATGCTGTGTATAGGTTAAGGAAGAGAGTTTATGGATGTCAACTTCTTTATTATGAGGAACACAACTTTTTGGAGTATATGCTTACTCCTTCATCAGGTGATATTATGAAATATAAAAAGGAGCTAAGAGACACTCTTCATTTTTGTGACACTGCAGTAATCTAGACTTGCCAAATATAAAGACTTGCATGGGCTGTATTAAATTTAATTGTGCCAGGATCTGTATGGCAGACTAGCACCATGATAATGGATAGACTCTACTTAGTGTTTGATTTTGCAAATCCAACTTATGATAGTTTCTGTGCCATAAAGCTAGTTAAGTAATGTGTTTAAAACATGTTACTGAATTGTTACTTCAATTTTTGACATTACTGAAAATACTGCATTAAAAGATCTGTGTAGAGAAAGTGTGTTCATTATTGTTTATCTTAATCCATAATTACATTTTCTCCATTACTGAAGTCCACTTTATGTATTACTATCAGAACTCTTCCAAAGTGTTTTTTGTTTTGACATTCGGCCCAGTGCTATGGTGCCATATGTTAGCTTACCATTCTGCCATGCCTGCAACCTCTAACCTGGTCTATGAATTCCATTGTCTCCTGTTACCCTTCTTCTCCCAGCTTCCCATCTCCATGGTAACCTGACACCCCTGATGGCTCAGTCACCATAGCCTTGTTTGAAGATGACTTATACACATCTATAACATATCTGTTTTTGTGATGATCCCAAGGGTTGAAGCTTCTTGTCAGATCCTCGACGAAATCCTGCTCTGTATTTGGACAGAGGCAGGATGGGGCATCTCAACCCCTACCTACCACCCTTGACTAACATCTAGTCTCTGAAATGAACATATCGTACAGAAAAAAACAGTTGTTCAATTATCTTAATAAAAATATAATAAAAAGGAGCCCAGAGACTCTCT